GGTACTGTAGGCTGGCCTGTGTAGTCTCTGGTCTAGCACGAATAAAAAATGGTACATGAAGCAATGGGGCTAGCAACTTATATGCTCCTCCCCCTCCATGTCCACCGCGGCATGATACAATGCGTGCGCGCGTCAAGGTGTGCCGCGTTAGTAAAAAAAACGTCCAACGGCAACATGTCAACGCATGCATTGTGGCAAGAGGCATCATGCTGCTCTTATCTTGCCTGACAGTCGGGGAGCCGAACGAACGGAGGAGCGAAACCAAAGCGGGGGAAGCCCAGAGAGCCAGGCTGCAGGGGCGGGGACAAATAGGGAAGGAAGAACCACGAACACTCGCATGATGTTCAAAGCTGGCAGCGAGGCAGAGCAGAAAAACAGTCGCAGGCGAAACAATCGCTCGAGACCAGATCATAAGATGCCAACGCAATACCTCCTGGCGCCGCATGAAACAAGCTGTCAGTAAGAAGCGCATGTCTGGGTGACAGGAGGCAGGTGTGGGCCAGGCATGGACTACTGCTGGTGTGTGTCCTGAGGACTCCGACCCGTGCCTGGCCCAGGCCGCCTTTCCATCGGGGGGGGGGCAGGCTCAGACCCCGCAGCGTCGGGCCCCGGAGATCTCGGCCGACCTCCTCGGGACCAACTTCCCATCCCGGGCACCTGTTCGACGCTCCTGGGGCCCGGCGAGGGCCCCCGAAGGCCGAGAACGCTCAGCAACTGTCCGCGGTGACTCCATCACGCCGCGGAGGGGATCCGGGACGGCGAGTCACAGGCCGCCCTCCCGGACCTTTCCCAGGGCGAGCTCTTGACAGACACTCGAGGGGGGAATCTGGCCGTGGCGACGAGAAGGCCCCTGGAGTTGCAAAAAAGAGCGAGAAGGCGTCCCAAATCCCCGATACTCGACCCTGGATTCTCTCACAGCGCGCGGAGGTCTGGGGGCCCTGGATCCCTCGACCCTGGCGGCCTCGGCGACCACTCTGCAAGGCAGCCCCGCGGAGACGGGGCGCTCCTGCTCTGGACGCCCGAAGCGGGCACGGAAACAGTGGGTACACTGCGCGACAACACAGGTTGGCCAAGACCACCGACAGCGGCCGCTGCTGGGCAGGCGCCCGCAGGTCTCAAGAGGACAACGTCCGCGGCGACACCTGCAGCGGGTCCTGCTCAAGGTGAGCAGGACTGGGGGACAACGATGCAGGGGCGACTGGCACGGGGGGGGAAACATCGACCTGGTATTGGCGACACAGCGCCGATAGATCGGCGATAAGCCCCCGACAGCGAATCCGAACGTTCCTGGGCAGGTTGGGGCTATCAGACCCCGATCGGCGGTCAGTGGGCGATTGGAAGTCGATGCATCCCCCATTATGCCACCCCCCCCCCTTATGGTTGCCCCTGAGGGACATGCTGTCGGTCGTTGTGCCCATTCTTTCCGTGTCCATTTCGATCGTCCCGACCTGCGGCGGGGTGGCGAGCATCCCCTGCGCCCGGACGCCGTCTGCAGCGGCGGGCAGCGGCGTAACTCTCCTGGGGGCCGGGCTCTGCTCCGAGTGGTCCTGGCCCGAGGTGCTCCCCGCTCCTCGCGCCACTTCTGGGGCGTCGCTGACTGGGGGGGCGGTCAATGAGGGGGGAGAGAAAGGTACACTTTTCGGGCCATGGAGGCCTCCTTTGGAGTCCCACAGGGCCCTCTAGGGGCCCTGCAAGGATCCCTTTTTCTGCAGCCCTGGCTGCCCCCCCCCCCCCAGTATATATCGCCCCCCATTACGCGACTCCCAAACTGCGGGGCCCACGTGGCCTTCCGTGCCTCGTGAGGGGCGCCCTGGCTACGGCAACTCATGGGAGCCTCTCATACAGTCTTATTGGCTCTTGCGAATCGACGCTCGATCGAAATCGACGCTAATCGACGCTACATCGGCGCTGGATCATCAATTACCAGACGCTTGCACACGCTGGTGCACTCGACAAACGGACGTACGAGGACATACGAGGCTCCCATGATTTGCTACCGAACGCCTCCCTGGGAGAGCCGAGACCACCTCGGTCCAGGGCCGCTTCCAGCAACGCCCGCTGGGGGGGTACAGGGTGCCAAGCGCGCTCCCGGAGGAATAGGCGGAGGAGGAAGAGGAGGAGAAGGAGGAGGTGGGGGACGAGAAACAGTAGGAGGAGGATAAGGAGCAAGAGGAGGAAAAGGAGGATGGGGAGGAGGAGGAGGAGGAGAAGGAGGAGAGGGAGAAGAAGGAGGAGAAGGAGGAGGAGGAGGAGCAGGAGGAGGAAAAGGAGGAGAAGGAGGAAGAGAGGAGGAGGAGGAGAAGGAGGATGATGAAGAGGAGGAGAAGGAGGTGGGGGGACGAGGAACAGTAGGAGGAGGAGGAGAGGAGGAGGAGGAGGAGGAGGAGGAGGACAAGGAGGAGCAGGATGAGGAAAAGAAGGAGGAGGAGAAGGAGGAGAGGGAGGGAGGGAGGGAGGGAGGGAGGGAGGGAGGGAGGGAGGGAGGGAGGGAGGGAGGGAGGAGGGAGGAGGAGGGAGGGAGGAGGAGGAGGAGGAGGAGGAGGAGGAGGAGGAGGAGGGAGGAGGAGGAGGAGGAGGAGGTAGGAGGAGGAGAAAGACGAGGAGGAGGAGGAGGAGAAGGATGAGGAGGAGGAGGACGAGGAGGAGGTAGGACGAGAAGGACGATGAGGACGAGGAGGATGTGGATGAGGAGGAGGATGAGGAAGGGAAAGAGGATGAGGATGAGGAGGAGGAGGCGAAGGAGGAGGAGGAAGACAAGGCGGAGGATGATGATGAGGATGATGAGAAAGAGGTGGATGATGATGCTGCTGCTGATGATGATGACGATGATGCTGATGATGGTGATGATGAGGATACTGATGATGATGATGACGATGATGCTGATGATGATGACGCTGATGATGCTGATGATGCTACTGATGCAGATGCTGATGATGATGCTGATGAGGATGCTGCTGATGATGATGATGCTGATGATGATGATGCTGACGATACTGATGATGATGATGTTGAGGATGATGATGATGCAGGTGCTGATGCTCATGATGCTGCTGCTGATGATGCTGATGATGGTGCTGCTGATGATGATGCTGATGCTGATGCTGATGCTGCTGCTGCTGCTGATGCTGACGATGATGATGATAATAATGATGATGATGATGAAAAGGAGGAGGAGGCAGATGAGGAGGAGAAGGAAGAGGAGGAGGAGGAGGAGGAGGAGGAGGAGGAGGAGGAGGAGGAGGAGGAGGAAGAGGATGAGGAGGAGGAGGGAGGAGGAGGAGGAGGCGGAGGAGGAGGAGAGGAGGAGGAGGAGGAGGAGGAGGAGGAGGAAGGAGGAGGAGGAGGAGGAGGAGGAGGAGTGAGAGAGAGAGAGAGAGAGATGAGAGAGAGAGAGAGGAGAGAGAGGGGGAGGAGGAGGAGGAGGAGGAGGAGGGAGGAGGATAAGGAGGAGGAGGAGGAGGAGGAGGAGGAGGAGGAGGAGGAGGAGGAGGAGCAGGAGGAGGAGGAGGAGGAGGAGGAGGAGGAGAGGAGGAGGAGGAGGAGGCGGAGGCGGATGCAGAGGCGGAGGAGGAGGAGGAAGAAGAGGACGAGGCGGCGAAGGCGGCGGCGGAGGAGAAGGAGGAAGAGGTGAGAAGGAGGACAAGGTTGAGGATGAGGATGCTGAGGAGGAGCACAAGGAGGATAGAGAGGACGATGACGAGGAGGATGAGGAGAACGAGGATGACTAGGAAGAGAAGAAAAAGGGGGAGGAGGTTGAGGAGGAGGAGGAGGAGGAGGAGGAGGAGGAGAACGAGGAGGAGGAGGAGGAGGAGGGAGGAGGAGGAGGAGGGATGAGGCAGGAGGAGGAGGAGAAGGTGGAGGAGGAGGAGGAGGATGCGGAGGAGGAGGAGGAGCAGGAGGATACGGATGAAGATGATTCTGAGGAGGAGGAGAAGGATGAGGAGGAGTAGGAGTCGGAGGAGGAGGAGGAGGAGAAGGAGTCTGAGAGGGAGGATGAGGAGGAGGACGAGGAGGAGGCGGAGGCGGAGGAGGAGGATAAGGGTGAAGAGGAGGAGGAGGCGGAGGAGGAGGAGGAGGAGAAAAAAGATGAAGAGGAGGAGGAGGCGGAGGACGATGATGATGAGGAGAAGGAGGAGGAGAAGGAGCCGGAGGAAGAGCAGGAGGAGGAGAATGAGGAGGAGGAGGAGGAGGAGGACGAGGAGGATGATGTTGAGGATGAGGAGGAGGAGGATGAGGAGGCGGAGGAGACGGAGGAGGCGGAGGTGGAGGATAATGGGGAGGAGGCGGAGGAGGAGGAAGAGGAGGAGAGGGACACGAGGACGAGGCCGAGGTGGAGGATGTAGAGGAGGAGGAAGAGGAGGAGGAGGAGGAGGAGGAGGAGGAGGAGGAGGAGGAGAAGGGGGAGGATGAGGATGAGGATGAGGATGAGGAGGAAGAGAAGGAGAGGAGAAGGAACCGGAGGAGGAGGAGGAGGAAGAAGAGGTGGGGGATGAGGAGGAGCGGCTGCGGCGGCGGAGGAGGAGGATGCGGAAGAGGACGAGGCGGAGGAGGAGGAGAGGGAGGAACAGAACGAGGGTGACGAGGCGAATGAGGAGGACGAGGGCGAGGCTGCGGATGAGGATCCGCACCCACTTGCGCGGCGGGCCGTCTGTCTCGGCGCGCAAGAGGAGGACGAGGAGGAGGAGGACGAGGACGAGAAGGAGAAGCACGGAGAGGATGAGAAGGATACGGGGAAGGAGGAGGAGGACGAGGAGGAGGAGGCGGAGGAGGAGGATGAGGAGGAGGGGAGGAGGAGAAGGCGGAGGAGGAGAATGTGGAGGAGGGTGGGGATGATGACGAGGAGGATGATCAGGAGGATACGGATGAAGATGATCATGAGGAAGAGGAGGAGGAGGAGAAGAAGGAGGAGGAGGGGGTGGAGGAGGAGGATAAGAATGAGGAGGAGGAGGAGGAGGAAGACGAGGAGGCGGAGGCGGAGGAGGAGGAGGAGGACGAGAAGGACGACGAGAAGGAGGAGGCGGAGGAGGATGAGGATTAGGAGAATGAGGAGAGGGACGAGGAGGATGAGCTGGAGGAAGAGCAGGAGAAGGAGGATGATGTTGAGGATGAGGAGGAGGATGAGGAGGCGGAGGAGGATGAAGAGGAGGAGGAAGCGGATGAGGAGGAGGAAGAGGAGGGTGAGGAGAGGAGGAGGAGGAGGAGGAGGAGGAGCGAAGATGATGATGATGATGATGAGGAGGAGGAGGAGGACGAGGAGGAGGAGGAGGAGAGGAAGAGGAGGAGGAGGAGGAGGAGGAGGAGGGAGGAGGAGGCGGCAGGAGGAGGAGGAGGAGGAGGAACCAGAGAGGAGGAGGAGGAGGAGGAGGAGGAGGAGAGGAGGAGGAGGAGGAGGAGGAGGAGGAGGAGGAGGAGGAGGAGGAGAGGGAGGGAACGAGGACGAGGACGAGGAGGATGAGGAAGAGGACGAGGCGGAGGAGGAGGAGGAGGAGGAGGAGGAGGAGGAGGAGGAGGAGGAGAGGGAGCAAGAGAACGAGGACGAGCAGAATGAGGAGGACGAGATCGAGGGTGCGGATGAGGATGAGGATGATGAGGAGGAGGACGAGGAGGAGGAGGACGAGGACGAGGAGTACGAGGAGGATGAGAATGATACGGGGGAGGAGGAGGAGGGGAAGGAAGATGATGATGATGATGCTGATGATGATGATGATGATGCTGATGATGATGATGATGATGATGATGATGATGATGATGATAATGGTGGTGATGATGATGAGGAGGAATATGAGGAGGAGGAGGAGGAGGAGGAGGAGGAGGAGGAATAGGACTCTGCCCATTCTGCCACGTCGGTTCCGAGGGGGCCATCGACGGCGTGTGGCACAGGTGCTTTCAGTGTCCTGGACTCGCCGAGCAGCGGGCCCAACATCTACCAGAAGAATGTGCAGCGGCAGGCTTAGCGGCAGGGAAGGAGGACCCGCTTTTCAATAGTCTTTCTTTGGCCCCCTCCCCCTGCAGGATTACATGAGCCCGCCTGGAAAGGATCCATCGCCCACATGGGACCCGACGGGTCCATCGAACCCTTCAACTTCAACCAAAAAGAGTTATTGTAGAGTGATGGGTCGTGTTTTGGAGGTGCCTTTGTTTATGTATCTGGAGTTGCCTGGGGTTTCGTTTCAACCAACGAGTCTGGCGAGTTTCTCGGAAGCATTTTCGGACATGTCCCAGGGCTCCTACCTCAAAGCGCAGTCTTCGGGGAGGTGTACGGCCTCCTATCGGGGCTCACCCACCTCGAGACCGCTGCGGAGGATGGGGAGAATACCGAGTCAGAGTTTCAGATTCACATCGATTGCGCTGCCCTTCTTGGGGGATACAATGACCCTCGGAAGGCGATTTCAGGTGCCAGCTCGCTATCAGAAGTATGGCATGACCCTGACAGATCAGCAGTGCCACAATGGTCGCTGAAAAAGGCCAAGGCCCATCTCAGAGGCGAGCTGCCAGGCGTAGCACTCCTTCACCAGAGA